AGGATCGAAGCTTTGCTAAACATTAGCCTTGCAATTCTTCCTTCAAGCGTATGCTACCTCCATTATGGGTTTTACCACCATTCAAATGAGATTGATTAGTTCATCGAGGTATATTATGGATTGTATCCCTTTTTCACTTGGGAAATGAATATCAGTTTGTTGATTTTCTTTTAATTGAAGAAACTATTTTAAGTTTTGGTGTCAAAATATTGATTAGGATCAATAATCTTGTGATGGTAGCGTTAGTACTACAACTGAATTGTCAAAGAATATATTATCAAGATACAAAATTTCCAAAAGATATTTCTGTATCACATGATGATTTGTTTTCCCTCCATTCTTTGAGAACTGTACATACAGACAATATTGACAACTCACTTGGCTACTCATTCACGAAATTGTTTTTCTCATTTGTGAAATTAAAAGGTACGGAAATTTAGTTATCTCTTCCTAGGCAAAGCAAACGTTTTATTCTAATGGATGGAATTATTTTTAGAAAATAAATAAATAAGAGAAAAATATTTGTTATTTTAAAAAACATAACTTTGTGTTATTTTAGAGAAAACGACATTGTTTTGGTGTATATTTAAAGATTTTTTTATTTTCTCTCTTCAGTAAAATTAGAGAGAGAAAGTTGAGAAGAGAGAATTAAAAAATTACCAATTATGTATCAAAATGACATCATTTTTTCTAAAATAATACAAATATGTGTCTTTTAAAACGACAAATATTTTTCCCAAAAAATAATTATATCAAAATATACTCGGGAAAAAATAATGAAATGAGGGAACAAAAATTAGGGTTCATTTTTTCTAATTTTTTTTTGTCTAATATTCACCGAAACAACATTATTTTAGGGCGAAAATCATGATGTGTTTGTAATTTTAATTTATTCCAGGATTATAATAATTTTAATCATTCTAAGTTTTTAATCTTTCAATCTCAAAACGACATTTTTTGGTTGAATATTAAACAAAATTTTCTAAAATAACATTAGATACTTTATTCCAAAAAATTATTTACCAAATCAGTACAAAAGCAAACCGCAATACAAATAGCATCGATTGGGTTAGACATTAGCAAACCACAATATCAATATATTGGGTTAGACATGCAACAGCAACACAAATCATTAGATTCATTACAATCACAACGACAAAAGGAGATCGATTGGATTAGAGCTTGTTGGTTGAGGCGAAACCATGAAAATGAAAGAGAAGAGTGAGACTCCATGTATTACTAATACTATAAAATCGTCTGATTTGAACATAAAAAATAAAAAAACAAAAACAAAAAACAAAAAAGTCAATCCAACCAATGAATTTACTACCCTTTCAACATCTGACTCATTTAACTCATTCTTATATGCAGCGGGTTACAATAGATTGATGCATTCAAAATTATCCGTCATTTTAGTCGGATTAAATGGATTAACCCGACGGATGAAATCCATATTAACAATTTTAGCCCATCTAATGCGATAATAACTTGTAATATTAGTGGAGATTGATATCAAAAGCTACAGTAAATTTTGCTTGTCATGTTTTTTTGTTGGGTTACACACTTTGTCTAGTTTTGATGAAAACAAACAAGTGAAGCCAAATCATCTAATATGTTATTTAGTTTTTGAAAGTTTATCGCATGACTTAATTTGTAATGGATTATGAAGAAGTGAATGCAATAAAATTGTTATGAAATCGTGAAGATCGAATTTGCAAGATGGAATCTTAAATTTTATGTAATGGTTGGATGAGGTGAATCACGATCTTGTCTTAGGTTAAATTATCTTAAAGTTTTGGAAACAAAGGAAATAAGACAGAAAAGATTTATCTTTATATTTTTTGGTTGAAAAAAGATTTATCTTTAATCTAAATAGATTTTTGAGATTTGATTTTTGATTTAAAAAAAAAGTTAATTTGAGATTAAATTCATTATTGAAAGATTTGATTCAATTTCATTTAATTTGGGAAGTTAGTCTTTAGAAAATTAATTTAAAAATTTGATTCTATTTTTAATACAGAAATGTTGGAAGCTTTCTTAAAAATTATGATAACATATTTAGTGCAAAAGAATTAGAGTTTTTTTTCTTAGTAATTGCTTTTGAGAAAGACTCTACAAAAACCATACTTTGATTCTTTCTTCAAAGTGTGGGTCAGCATTCAAGAGAAAAAGCGCATTGCACATATTATAAGTATTTCTTTTAAAGACACATTCAAAATAATTTGACAATTATGAATCCACTGCTTAAGTTTGATTGGTACCCATTTTGCTTATTAATTAGAAGCGTACAAGATAACTCTTAATTTATTTTTTATTTTCTTTTAGCTATTGCCGGATTAGGCAATAAGAGAGCAATTATCTAGTGATAATTCAGATTTTATACTTTTGGCTTAGAGGTGTGATTTGCAATTGTTAGAGGTTTGCCAATTGGGGTGCAATTTACGAGAGTAAATTGGGGTATCCAAATCTAGAAGTAGGTTTGGGTGAACTCTTGTATAAAGGTAGAATAGATTCTGTTCTTGTACTTTGAATTGAACGTGACATTCTTATATAAGGGTAGAATAGGTTCTATTCTTGTACTTTGAATTGAGCGTGACTCACTGTGGTGGATTTATCTCCCAATTGGATAGAAGTATCCAGATTATGGTTGTGAGTTTTTTCACCACCTTTTGGAGTTTTTCCGAGGTAATTACTTACGTTATCTCTTTGCTATTTTCTTTATGGGTCAAAATTATCATTTAAAAATTAGCAATGAACTGTCGTCATCATCATTCATCAATCTTCACCTCAGAGGCACCTTCATCTATATAAATAATAATTGAAAAAAGAAAATAATTAATTTTACAAAGTGAAGGACAATAACACGAAACCAATTTTCTAATTTTCAACGATCATGCAAATTTGCACATATTATTCTATAAAAATTGATTGCATAAATGCAGAGTTGATGCTTAAACAAACAAAGCAAATATATCTCATAATTTTGCTATTGGAAATTTCTGTAGCTATATGGCTTTCGGTAGTGACTATAGTGATAGGATGGACACAAACCACATGTGACACAAGTGTATGAAATATTTTAAAGACAAGAAAGATTTAGAAAAACATTTGGAACGTCACAATGGCCTATACAAATGTTTTAAGTGCAAGCGTCCTTTTGACACCAAAAATAGGGCTGGTAAAACAGGGAAGGCAGCCCTAGCCCGCCATTGCCCCCCCCCCAAAATGGGACGGGCCGGCCACCCCGTTTTGACAAAAGGGACTGAAATTAGCGACCCGTCCCGTTTTATGAATGGTTGGCGAGCTGCGGGTCAACCCGCATAAAATAAAATAAGAACTCCTAAAATAAATTAAAAAAATATATGGATAAAAAACACATAAAATTTAGGAATCAAAGCACCGTACAAATTCAGCTTAAAACTGATTCTACAAGCCAACCCAAAAAATAAAATAAAAATATTAATGCATGAAACCAATTATGTAGTTTCACTACCATACACACAAATGTCCATTCAAATTGAAAAAAAGAAATCACAAATTCAAAATGCTTGCTTCATTCGTTGCTTTGAAGAAGCTCCAAGAAAACATGAACTGCCATCGTCATCCTTCATCAATCTTCACATCAGAGGCACCTTCATCTATATAAATAATAATTGAAAAAAGAAAATAATTAATTTTACAAAGTGAAGGACAATAACACGAAACCAATTTTCTAATTTTCAACGATCATGCAAATTTGCACATATTATTCTATAAAAAGTGATTGCAGAAATGCAGAGTTGATGCTTAAACAAAACCAAGCAAATATATCTCATAATTTTGCTATTGAAAATTTCTGTAGCTATATGGCTTTCGGTAGTGACTATAGTGATAGGATGGACAAGAAGCACATGTGCCATAAGTGTACGAATTACTTTAAAGATAAGAAAGATTTAGAAAAATATTTGGAACGCTGCAATTGCCTATACAAATGTTTTAAGCGTAAGCGTCCTTTTGACACCAAAAATAGGGCTGACAAAATAGGCTAGCCCGCCCTGGCCCGCCCAAAATGGGACGGGCCGACCCACCCTATTTTGAAAAGGGACTGAACTTAGCGACCCGTCCCATTTTATGAATGGCTGGCGGACTGCGGGTCAACCCGCCTAAAATAAAATAAAATTATATCTGCATAAAAAACACATACAATTTAGGAATCAAAGCACCGTACAAATTCAGCTTAAAACTGATTCCACAAGCCAACCCAAAAAATAAAATAAAAATATTAATGCATGAAACCAATTATGTAGTTTAACTGCCATACTCACAAATGTCCATTCAAATTGAAAAAAGAAATCACAAATTCAAAATGCTTGCTTCATTCGTTGCTTTGAAGAAGCTCCAAGAAAACATGAACGACCATCGTCATCATTCTTCAATCTTCACATCAGAGGCACCTTCATCTATATAAATAATAATTGAAAAAAGAAAATAATTAATTTTACAAAGTGAAGGACAATAACACAAAACCAATTTTCTAATTTTCAACGATCATGCAAATTTGCACATATTATTCTATAAAAAGTGATTGTAGAAATGCAGAGTTGATGCTTAAACAAAACCAAGCAAATATATCTCTTAATTTTGCTATTGAAAATTTCTGTAGCTATATGGCTTTCGGTAGTGACTAAAGTGATAGGATGGACACGAACCACATGTGCCACAAGTGTACGAATTATTTTAAAGACAAGAAAGATTTAGAAAAACATTTGGAATGCCGCAATTGCTTATACAAATGTTTTAAGTGCAAGCGTCCTTTTGACACCAAAAATAGGGCTGGCAAAACAGGCTAGCCCACCCTGGCCCGCCTAAAATGGGACGGGCCGACCCACCCTGTTTTAACAAAAGGGACTGAACTTAGCGACCCGTCCCGTTTTATGAATGGCTGGCGGACTGCGGGTCAACCCGCCTAAAATAAAAAAAAACTCCTAAAATAAAAAAAAACATTATATCTGCATAAAAAA